ATGGATAAAAAGGTACTGATAAAAAGTACAGGCTGGTTATATCAGCTGCCCACCCAGAACTTTGAAGGTGAAACGAGGTTAGAAACCATAACCCACTGTTACAGTCACTAAAAATAAATCAAGGAAGATCAACGATGAGTTTCATAAAACAAAAACATGGATGAATCTCTAGTTTGCAACCTCTTCTGATGTACCTTGGTTGGACGAACCAAATGATTAGGTCACCAACGTGTTTAAACGTCACCCCTACAGTTTCAAAAAACTCAATCATATTCTACTCTAAACCAACAACATTGAATGACAGGTAAAATACAGATAGTTTACCATTAGGAAAATTAAATCCAGAGATAAACATCTCAAGTAAGACAGAAACTGGGCGATGATACTATAGCATGTGCGTCTCCGTCGTTGATTGAGCTGAAATGATCGGCCACTATCGATATATGCACTGCTGGCAGGATGCCTCCATATTGCCATTATTTTCAAATCTCATATTAATGACTACAATAATCCTATTAATGATATTAATGGCTAGCAGTGGAATGCAGTACGCGTGTTTCGTCCTATTTAGGACTCATCAGTGGAATGTACCTACTTCCCAGTGAGTGATGCTTTGCCCATTAAGACTCATTTAACCTGAGCCAATTCCTAGCTTAAAAAACGTCTCTTATGTCTTAATGTCATGAAAAGTTGATAACCTGTGATTATTATGATTGGATTTACTCTACTTATGAGAAGTTATTTTTCTGACATTATTCACCAATATGGTTGCACAATATTCAAAGGGCGTGAATCTTTTCTCTTGTCATCTATCTCATCAGTAAAATAGTATGATCTTATTGAAATCTACATAGTTTTATTTACAAAGTTGATCAACCAAAAAAATACCTACCAACCTTGTCTACCAGTGTTACTTTTAAGGGTAACCAAGAATTTGGATATCGAGGTATTAGACCTTCAATTAATCAGATGGTACATCAACCAATACAAATCAATAACTGTTAACAATTAAAATAGTACACTAATCATCTCAATAGTGCATCTTGACAAAAAAAAATAATAACAATACTATGAGCAAAGAACTTCAAAATAAACCCTGCGCATAGACTTTAATCCACCAAAATGTAATTACACTTTATTCTGGAGTGCATAATAACTAAACACGCTTGTGTTTAATCATCACGCTACATTGTAGAAATTTCTAGTCAACTTACTTTAAACAAATAAATAATGCTGGGCAAAATGAAAATTCCTGGCAAAATCAACACATGTCAACTTATCATTAATAATGACAATAATGATTATTATTTGTCTATTCCTTACACCATCTCCTCCATGTCACCCTCGACTCAGATGCCTAACTCATCGTTTCGCATGCGGGTTCCACTCGATGGCCTGGCCTGGCAAGTGATAATCCCAAACAGTCTTCTCAGTGTATTTCCAATCCAGTCCATCTCCTTTTTCTTATTCTGCATATCTGTTGGGCGATGGGTTGTTGGTTGGTTCGTTGCCAGCCAGTCAGTCAGTCAGTCAGCCAGCCAGCCAGCCTGAGTGAGTTTCTTACTGCTTATCCTTTCTGGCCACCTGTCTGATCTTCAGTATCAGTATCGAGTGGGCGTAGTTGGCAGCTGTTGATGACGCATGTCTGTAGTTTGTGCCACAGGACATTAGAAATAAATCATCGGCGGCGAAATCCAGGGTTCTAGGGTCTTTTCATCGGTCTGGCCAGCGTCTACTATCCACTTGTTCTTTGTATACTACTATGATGTACGGTCGGAGGGGCTGATCTCAAATTGATGATGTTAGTAAATTACTTTTCACAGTCAGATCATAACGTTCGTCACTGCTTACCAACTGATCCATGCTTTTTCGCTATAGAAAACTAGCAGAAGTGATGATTTTTTTAATTATTGATGACACTTGCGACATCCTCCACATGATAAACTGGATGGTACACACTCTCTTTTGACTGCTTTGACCTCTGTTAAAAATCTGATCACTCTAATACAAACATTAGTTAAACACACTGTCTAGCCTGTTTGCGTTAAGTGTTAATCAACAGTGTTGGTTGCAGGTCATAGTTTAATGTAAAACACTTATCAAAAAACAGAAGTAGCCAACATATATATACAAGCTATCCAGAAATAAATTCGGTACGGACGTAAACATGACTAAAAATATACAAATGGTTGCTCCAGGACTGATCTTCAGCTATGCCACGGTTAACAATAGAGAGTGAAGTGGTTGAGTGCACTGAACACTTGCCTTACCTAGGAGGAAGAATCAGCCCTGATGGCTCAGTGGCCGACGAAATCTATGCACAGATACAAAAAGCTCAATTGCCTTTCGCCAACTTATGCCATTTATAGCGCCACCGTGACTATAAAAGGATGAGTATACTGCGATGCAGTTCACTCACTTCTATTATCTGACCTTGAAACACAGTCATTAAGGTTGAGGGCTTCAAGAAGGCTTCAAGTGTTTGATTGCCACGGTTTTCTTCAAGATATCGGTCATGTGTTCTTGCATCACCGCCCAATTACAGCAGAGGTAGGGTGTGCAAGTTTAGGGAGAAGAGGAAATTCAGTTGACGAGGTCACGAGCCTTCAGTGACCCATGTGGCTAGGAAATGTGTTATCCATGCCTAGTCGCAAGCGTTTACTTCATCACATAATGTTAGCTGAAGTAGGTTCAGGTTGAAAAAAAGCTAAGGACAGTCGGATCAAAGCATGGTGTCAGACCCTGAATTCTTCGAATGTTAGTCCGAGTCATGTAGGGTAATGTAGACTACCCAGTTGGGTCTGGGTGACAAGAGAAACCAGTGGTAGAAGACTCTAGGTGATATGGCTCTCGGTCGATGTCAGTGGTTCAGATGTATCTGCACTTCATCTTCATCCTAACCACTATACTCAATGCTGAATGCAGCATTTTCTCATTCTTCCTCCATTTCTTTTACTACTGTGTCTGACCAATTTATCTTTTTATCTTTCATCTTACTGCTTTGTCACTTGATGTGTTGATATGAGGTGTGACAACTTGAACCGTTATGCAGTGATGTCTATTCCTATGTTGGATATTGACTGAGGGCTAGCCATTCATGATAAAACTCTCTTCTCAATATAATAAAAAGAAAACTAATTGGCTATTTCAGTGGCTGCCAGGGTAATCCTCAAGGCATTCCGACGAAATTGGCTGAAAACATTACATTTTGGAAAACATTCAGTCTTAACAACCACTATTAAACATGTCCATTTTTCTGGGTAACTAATACAACCTAGGGAATTCTGTTGAAGTGACTGGGGCCTCACGTAGTGAAACATGCGGAAAAATCTGTTGATTTTCTAAACACATTGGGAATGCTCTAAAAAAAAGTATTTTTATAACCCCATTTATTTCACTTAAAAATTTAACTAGATCAACTTTCTCACTGAGATATGTTTGCAGTGATGAAATAGGCGATCTATGACAAGGTAAAAATGAACTCAGTAAAATTTCGTCAATTCATCAACCGATCTCAAAAATTATGATTATTTTCTCGAGAACTAATTGTCGAATCAAACATTCATGAGTTGATCTTGACTAGTTTGTCATTTGTCTGGAAAACCTGAAATCGGTTTCGTGATTGTTAGTACTCATCAGTAAGGTATGTTTACGGCTCTGGGTAACTGATATCCCTCTACAGATTCAAACACAACTAAGCACGGATATCATAGCTCCTTGACGGTCTCCTTCACCAACTAATTAACATAAACCAAAGTGTACCGCAATGCTGAGTCTCCGAACTTGGCAGCTACTCTGCAAACTTCACCAATAAAATCTGGTTAGTAATTAAGGCCAGATATAATGAAATCAGTTATCCCTCAGTGAATAATCAATATGAAAGTTGGTTTGGTTAATTTTGTTTCTTGATTACACCTTTAAGAAACTCAGTTGAACACTGTTATTTCTGTATTCCTTAAGTTACAGTTTAATTATGGACTTTTTATATATGTGAATCAACTGAATAAAATTTAGTGAATTTCATCGGAAGGCAAACATCTTTCGTACAACAGGGGGAACAAATATTTATTTAGAAGTAGTATTCATCATGGACTGATATCAGTTGAGGAACCATTGAAAATGTGGAAGCACTGGATGCTGTTTCGTCCTGGTATGGGACACCTCAGCAGTACTCACCCGCTTTCGCTGTGAAACTGAAGGTCCTGAGTTCGATCCCTAGCTGGGTCGTGGGTGCGTACTGATAAGGCGTCCCATACGAGGACGAAACAGTTGTCCAGTGCTCCCAGATTTTCAATGGTTTCTCAACTGATATCAGTCCATGATGAATACTACTTCTAAATTAAAAATCCCCATTCATCTCAAAAATATTTATTTGATTGAAACATTGTAAAAATCGACAGATGAGTCATAGTTCTGTACCTCCTACTATTACTTACTGGTGGTAACTTAACCAACACACATGCCAGTTACAAATTTTCAGTTAAATTATTCAGTAGATTTTCACTATTGATAACTAACTTGGTCAAGATAACATTAGTAGATGATTCGACAGTAATAAAAAGGTGTTACTCATTGATTTTTAAACCGAAGTGAACTTCACTTCAACTTGTTCCTGTGATACAGTATGGCTCCATCTTAGCACACTACCACGTATTGCATTGGTGAGTTGTGTTAAATTATAAAGTGTAAAATACACTAATGATTTTAGGGAATCAGCTAGAAAGAAACTCTGCTCAAGTGTCAAATACCACATGGCCAACTCAAGCCTATTGTACATAATGAAATTACACAACAGTTACAGTTCACCTAGTACATATTGTAATGCAACGTGATTCATAAACTCGGACACTACTCGTAAATAATATTTCTCCGCTAAATAACGTATAAATATATTCTTCCACTCACAATTGAAACGTGATAATAAAATAATGGTTAGATTAAAAGAGAAATGGTAGACTGTTTATTTACAACGAATGCATAAAAAATCCTTTACAACTCACCGTAAAAGGAACATACTTTTCAGAAGATTGTCAATCTCAGCAATCTACATTTATTTTCTTTCGATGCATCCCTCATTCACTCACTATGAAGTTCCTGTGGTTATATCGTTCCCTAAACTAGGACAATGAAGTACTACGACTAATGTTTCTTGATTTCTTTTACATAAGAATGAGTTAGATAACTGACTATGTCATAACAGCTGCAACCATGGCCGATAATTGTGTCATTTGATGAGAAAAAAAATAGGCTAGTGTCCAATTGCTAAGCGGACAGACGTTGAACAGTGCTTCTTATATAATCAGGACATGAATGAGGTTTGTTGTGTGTGTGTGCGTGCGTAGCCATTTGTTGAGGCCACTTTTGATTTGCTTCAGTCGGATTCAAACACTTAAGGGGGAGAGATCTGTTTCGAAATGTCCTCGCATCACCTCTTTGCTTTAAGCCAGGATGTGATCTGATTGCTGATTGGTCAGTTTTTCTAGAAATCACATTGGATAGTAGATATTATGACGCGAAAATGCGAAAATATGCATGACTGGGTCGACGCCTAACTCTACGGCACTGGTAACAATCAGGTCATCGTATTTGTGATTGGTTCTTCGGAATTTCGATTGCCCTACAATGCCAAAATTCAGGGCAGTTTACAGTTTGTATTTGTATTTGTTTATCTGTCTGTATGTCCGTTCAACTATCACTGACGGAGCACATTTTACACTGACCTTGACCCACCTTGAAGCTTTAAAAAATAGATCATACAACAGACAAAACTTACTTTGAAGAGCAGATTATTTCTAGTGCAGTTAAGTGGGACTAAAGAGTGACTTCTGATTATTAGTATTAGTGAAGAGAGAATAATATAGAGTAAAGGTTACATGTAGTGTAGGTAACCACATTACACTAACAGAGAGATAAATATATTTTAGTTAATGCTATCGTGAACAGTATGGAGTGATGTGCTGACCAAAATTTTGTTAAATTCTTGTTTAAAACAAGTAAAGTAAGACAAAACAGAACTTTCAATTGGTTTGTTTGTTCAAGCAATTGACTTCCTACCAGCGAACGAGTCAATAGTTTGAACGCAACTCCACTTACCTAGCTTTGCATATGAAAGTGATATCTTTAAGCTTTTCATCATAGGTGAGGTTCTTAAGGTTGCACAAGAAACTGTACGTGGTTACTGGGATGCTATGCTTCTTAAAGTGGTTTATGGATCGTTTGGATAGTTGCGAAAAGGGGAGTTAATTACCATGGAGCATTTCCTTGTCTTTAATACTGAAAATATCTGTTAGTTGTAACGCTTTGCTGGGCTGTAATTTCACTGTCAGACGAAATATCATCTTCGGCCAAATCCAATTTACGCTGAATGGAAATATTGTTTGAAATAAGTTGAGGTCCAAAGCTAATATCACGTAAATAATAAATAGCGTCAAGTATGTGGGAGCCTTGCCAGGTTAACTAGTTTACTAGTTACTGGTCAGTCCTGAAAGCGAGTAAAGAGGGAAGGTTGGGCATAGGGCTAGCAACCCTACCCCCTAAAACCAATCTAATCGCTAAAGAAACTTCAAAGCACAAAGAAAATATAAAAAATGAAAACAAACTTATTGTCGACTGAAATCGGAGAGGCGAAATGACACCAGTTGATGAAAGTCTTCGGGAAGCCAGTCGGCCGATGCGTCTTCTCTCGATGAAAGCGAAAGTAAGGATGAGAACATGGAATATTTGGGAGAAACCTAAAGGAAGTAGTCTCTTTCACCTATCTAGTCAGCATCGTTTCAACTAGAGGCGGCACAGAAGAGGATGTCAAAAGGAGGATGGGAAAGACAAGACAGGCTTTCACTAATCTGAAATTAATGTGGAGATCTACTGCACTGAGCATAAAGCGTGAACAAGATCCGGATTTTCAACACCAATGTCAAGTAATTCAGTGCTGCTATATGGTTCAGAAACTTTGCGTGTCACGAAAAGCATTTCCAACAAACTACAAACATTCATCAACAGCTGCCTCCTAGGCTGACTTGATGAAGATCAGATGACCAGAAGGAATAAGCAATAAGGAACTCTGGCCGGTTGGCAACGAAACAACCAAGAACCTGTCACTCAGTAAATATGCAGAAGAAAGTGGAGGTGGATTGGGCTTGACATATACTGAGAATGCCGACTAGGGACATCACGCACCAGGCCAGCTAGGCCGTCGAGTGGAATTTAAGTGGGAAACGACGAGTTGGGCGTCTGAGTCGAGGGTGACATGGAGGAGATGGTATGAGGGAGAAATGAAAGCTTGTGGGCAGTCTTGGAGCAAGCTTGAACAGACTGCAGAGAAGAGAGTGCAATAGAGGCGTGCCACTGAAGCCCTATGTTCGACTAGGAACCTAAGGGAAAAATAATAAAATAAAAAATAATGTGGTAGGCACAAGCTGTTGTATGGACTTACTGCAGTGTTCAACAGCCAAGTTCTTTTTTTTATCAAAAATTTGTTTAATTTAGTAGTACTATTGATATGTCCTTCAACAGAATACTTTGAAGCTGAACTGATTCTGAACTTTAAAGTTTTATTCAAACAATAAAGAAAAGCATATTAGATTGTAAATCTATGCAAAAGGTAGTCGAAGTCGAATCGAAATGTACTCAGCAACCCAGCCACACTTATCGTTTGACGAATAATGATATTACCTAGTCTCCTAGACCTCTGTAGGTAGGGAGGGCGAGGTTCAAACCCATGACTGCTTGGCTGAAAGTCAATAGGTCTACGGAAACATTAGTGCATTTCTGACAGAAAGAAACATGAATTTGAGGGAAATATAACCTGATAAATGAATTATGACGGGATAATTTACTTGGTATATTATATGCTGAAGTTCCATTTACTATTTCATGTTTACTATGAGTTTGCATTGATTTAGGCTTTCAGTTAGTCTTATTCAAGTAGTCAGGTTGTCATTTGTTGATATTGTTGTGATGCCCCAGTCTTGTATAAAACATTGTTGTTAATATATTATCGGAGCAATACACTCTCCCATCTGCCAGCGTCGGTCTTCTCTCTATTCGTGTCGGGGTTACAGTCAGTGTCTCTTGTGTATCAAGTTAGCTGTCAGCTAAGCACGCGTATTATATTCGTTTCTGGAACATACATATATATGTAGCCATTAGCGTTCGAAATCATAACAGATATTTATAATTGTGCTTTATTATACTGGATTGAAGTGAGAGATCTTTGTTATCATATGGACTCCTTTGTGAATATCTCAACATCGTCTGAACATTTATTGCTACAATAGAAACATAACAGTCCATATGCTGACAGAAGTCGATCAGTTTGGTCCAGTATAACAACAGGGAATTACAAGTATTAGCAAACAGTGATAATTAATATCCATTGTACGAGAGGTGGCTATTGTATGTCAGTGGCCTAGTGGAATACGCTTTATTGTTTAAAGCAATGTGTACGAGAGTTAAATGTCAACGGGAATATGACTCACTGGGGTGCAAGTACATTCAGCTGACGAGTCCTAAATAAGACGGAACGCGTATACTGCATACTACACCTAAGTCTTTTATAACAGTTAACCTGTCAGTCTATTACAAAGAGAAATTCTGTTGTTCAGTGAATTTATTCTTCTGTCCTGAAAAACATCTATGGATTGAAGTTTTATGGTCACTGAATTTCCTGAGTAAATACTTTTTAGCCTTGAGGGAATTTTATTCTCCTATAGACAGAAGTTCCCATCGTTTACTGTCTTGGTTGATAACACAGGTGATGAGTGAAACCACTCAGGAAATCAATCGACACAATTAGATGGATGCAGAAGATTTTTGTCCAACTGAACGTCAACCTTCAATAATACTGGTTTACTCTCTTTTAAGTAGTCATTAGTGAGGAACTCAATACTCTTTAGTGTGTACAGCAGAGGAAAATGAACGAGGCTACAGTACAAACAGCTTACTCATAAACTTAATGGTTAGATGGGCATCAATCATAGAGGTTAAAAGATGTCAGTGACACGACAAACAAAGTGTTGACTTGTGAATGGTTAGTAGATTGTTCCACAGATTCTAGATACTACCACCAATGTATCTCAGAAAAGTCAGCTGAGTCATCTAAATGATTAGGCCACATCAAAAAATGGATACCACTTATCTACTTGGTCAATTTTGTTGTGTGACTTAGACAAACTTATCTTGACATTCCTTTTGGAAATATATTTCGTTAATTTCCTTGATGATTTAACATCAGAAGAATCACATATTATGACCTATGAGGTGTAGGTTCCAACAGAAGTTTGCTACCGCCAAGTGGGTGCTTATAAATTACTTAGCCTTCTACTCAACCACAGGTCACCCTATTGATTGAGTGTCACCACCTCACACCGAATACAATGCATCACAGTGTTGGCTTACTTCGCTTCGTGACTACATTGCAAAACTTGGTGAATAAAGTTCGATCACTGCTAAGTACTAAGTACTAGACAGCTGAATAGGACACTGGGTCAGGATCCACTGGTCCACATTTTACAACCTCTGTCAACTCCTCAATACAACGCCACTTTGATCCAGTGTTATCGTAGATTTCCTGTCTTCAAGTTCGACTTGGTCTGTCCCACTGGTCAAGTATTCTCATTAGAACTTCAGGAAAACTCATCATGAAGATGAATATCAACTTGGAATTGATAGTCCTCCACAAACCCTAAGTTTAATTCTTGTGTAAGGATGTTAGTTAGGCTATTGAGAGATAACAGTTGTAAGAGTTCAATATTGTTGTCTTCAATATCAACAACATATTGAAGACAGTGAAAACCTTTTATTTGTTTCACCAAGTTATCAGTCAGTTAGTATCAACAGTCGAAGTTCCCACATCTCATATCAGTACATCAAGATACAAGGTGGGTGAGTGAAAATTAGAGAAATAAGGAGGAAAATGTTATCAAAATTGGTAGAAAGTCATAGTAAGAGAGGAATAAAGGGTAAGAAAGTAAGAAAGTGTAATAAGATGGATAGAATGGAGATAATGTTTGGATG